GGTCTAATTTATGATAGACCACTAGCGGGAAAATCAAAATGGCGGCATATCATTAATAAATGATTTTAAGGATATTTCAATTTGTTTTCATTATTTGACCGATTAGTATGTTTATACTAAAACAATTAGACCTCTCGGCCTCGTGGACTACGAGCTAATAGCCCATTCGGCCTCGCGGACTCGGCCTCATGGGCTATTAGCTCGTAGTTCACTCGACCTCGAGGTCTAATTGTTAATTAGTCAATAAATAGACACTAATATTTACTGTTTATTTTGATCATATTTCACGGTACAAGTGCAATGACTCTAGTTTTATGCAATCGTTCAGTTGGTTTATATTCACACAAGCCATTTTACAGTTCTTGGAGTGAAGTCGACCATATGTGTCAATACAAGTTCCTTTATAAGACAATCTTGAAATAATGATATGAATAGTTGGACGATCAAACGAATGTGATTTGCTCTATATAAATCGATCGAGCTCTGCAAATCAATTAAATTCTGTACTGAACCAATCAGAGTAAAAGCGAATTGTCAACTGAAGCCGTAATACAAACACCCTTTTAAAACATGGACTTTTAATCGAGTTTTAACGTGCAATAGAAAGTCATTGACTGGTTTATTGGTGGTTTGTGCAATGGTATAGGGAGACACTGCTATAGACCGCCACGATTACATTAAGATTGAGAATCAAGTGATTCAGTTATCGAATAACTTAACCATAGGAAACTAGTCCAAAAGGAACTATACCGCAACAAACTTATTCACATCAACCATCTAAAATTACAAGGTTAGTAAAGTTTTTCAGTCTGTTTTAACACCAGGCTTGTGAAAGTCATCTAACAGTATGTATGCAAAAAAATAACGATTTCTATTTTGACTATCATATTCAGCCAGATTTAAATTGTATACAGCTATTTCAAAAAACGTTGTCGGGGAGAACGGCGATTGTCGAAGGGAGATTGCACGACCGAAAGGAACTATGGTGACATTGTTTTGATAAATAAAATTTCACTTATTGGATTCACCTTACATAGAAATGTAGACTAAATGGAGCCAATGTTTACCACAAACCATCTTACAGTACAAATCAGTTGTTATTGTCTTTCAAATAGCAAAACCCATGGTTACTTTAGCTCGTGTAACTCACCGTTCGACAATTGACATTCGCTATTATCCGACAACCTTTTTTCAAATAGCTATATATATACCTATTTCAAAAAGGTTGTCGGATAAAATGGCGAATGACAATTGTCAAACGGCGATTGCACGACAGAAAGGAGCCATCGGTTTTGCTAATTAATGGGAAATAATAAATGATTTTTACCGTAAGATATTCTATAATCATCATTGGCTCCATTTAGTCTCCATTTTCACTCAAGTAAACCCAACAATTGAGTTTTTTTGTATCCATAGTCCATTTCGGTCGTGCAACCTCCCTTCGACAATCGCCGCTCTCCCCGACAACTATTTTTGAAATAAGTGTATCTAAAGACTGCTGCCGTTTGTTCTCTTTGCGACTCTATTCATAAAAGATCGTGTGGAAACGATGGTTTAATAGCACTCCATGGTCCAATAGAGTGGCAATGTGCATGTGGCGTCGTAAATTAAACTCTGCGCGCTTAATTGCTTGAGAAAATTAAATCGCTTCACATAGACGTCTCATCGCAATTCTATGACATATATATTAATTAAATTAACTCATCTTGAATTATGTTTATTATTTGTCCTTTAGAATGGTCGTAATATCACTTTTGATTGTAATACTACTCGCCAAACCACATCCTGCCTGGACACAATGTCAGCAACTTTATTTCGACTCGAATCAAAACGTCAGAGTTAACGCCGCCATGGACAGACACTACACCTTTATCAGGTTTAATGTGTCTAGCGTGTTAGATTGTTTTACAGAATGTCATAAACATTGCCGATGCCAGTCGTTTAACTTCCACGGTAGTTACTGGTCAGCGGGGACGTGTGAACTAAATGATGCTGATGCTTATGATGACAAAGTGTCAATCATTGCGAAGAATGGATGGCTGTTCTACAACCTTGACAGACAGGTGAGAATACTGTTAACTTTATTGACGTCATAGTCTTCTAATATAATCAATAATATCATCAACAATGATCGAATCGCATGATTATCATGTTAACAATTATTCGTCGAAGGCTGAGTGATTGTCAATGAATATTTACCGAGCGGCGATTCCCACTGAGCCCAAGGTGAGGCGGTCGAGGGCCGCTCGGATTGACAGCAAAGTCATCTTCTTGTAATAATTGCCATCTTTCTTCCTTATGGACATGTAAAACTTTGATAGACACTTCATTTAATTCACTTGTATCCATGTCTGCAAAGCTGACAGTGAATTCTGCAGAATCAGTTATTGAAACCATTCTGTCAAAAAATATATCGAGGAAAATGTAAACAAACCCGAAAACCTAAAAATTTCAGCCTGTTTGACGTAAAACGATAGATAAAAAAGTAGTTTTAGACAATGTTTTTACTTTATTTAAAAATAAACAAAACTTACCTGCAAAAAGATTTAATCCACCAATTTTTTTAATCCAATTGCCTTAATCCAACGACGCGCGGACGACGCCATTTTGCGAAAAAATCCAATATTCACCTATAGGTGAACATCGCTCATTGAAGCGTCAAATTCGACCAATCAGCGCGCTAGAATTATGATATTCACTTATGAAATTATACTAAATATACAGTTATTATAATTACTTCAAATCCTAGCTTCCTGTCAACTGTAGAGAATCCGAGTCGAGATGCTGTTCTACCAGCCAACCGTGTGAGAACAACGGCCAATGCTTTTCTACCTGTGAACCGCTGGGCAGAAGATATCGCTGTAAATGTCCGTATGACAATATTATGGGTGAACGCTGTCAAATAATAAACAATGAGAAATAAGCGTGATATGTCGTAGCTTAAAGACCGACCACGCCCATCTACTTAATGCCATTAGCTAGTAGTTCCTTAGCAACGATACCACTGGCAACATTAGTCGTCATTCACGAAAGCAATTTCAGCGAGGCTGATGTCGGGAAGTATAGATTTCATCAGAGGAAAAATGAAATTACTTTCATCAAGTGGCTCTATCGTCCCAACCGGATATGCAAGAGCTTATCGTTGTTTGTCTCAATGGTCCAGACTAGTCCACATTATCCAGACTAGGGCGAGTTGCTTAAGCCTCGATTAGCCGTTTAATCCTATATTAGCCTTGGACTAATGCAGTCAAGCCATGCTTTGAGCCGTTGTGAAAAACAATGTGATTTATCATTGTAAGCTCGATTATTGTATGATCCCTCCATCGCTTAAAATAGTGAATAGTAGTATTATTTGCAATGAAAAAAGGAAGACTATCACACAATCGCTTTGTACTTTCCGCTATATTAAGTTATAGAATTAAAATTACAGGAAAGTCAAATTAATTCTATTTGAAATGGCTGACTGATACATTAACAAATTGAATTCTAAGAAATTGATTGATGGATTGACTAATTGATTGACTAATTGATTGATAGATTGACTAATTGACATATTGACTAATTGTTTCGATTTAGTGACTTTAGTGATTGATGGATAGATTCACTAATTGACAGATGTATTGACTAGTTGATTGAAAGATTGACGGATATGTGATTGATCGTTTATATGTTGTATTGTCTTGATTGAGTGACTGATGTGTTATTTGATTGACTTGATTCACACTCAATGAAATAGAAGTCAGGTGGATACTTGTGATCGCTGACCTCAACCTGCTGCTATAAACGATTTATATTCTCATTTGATTGGCTGTTATTTTATTTTGATATATATTCACACGAACAAATTCGGAACCTTAGATTTTACTTGATAAGACATTTTTCGCGAATTATC